TTTTTCCCAAATTTCCATTCAGGAAATGAATTTTGCCCTATTAAATGCAACAGCCTGTAAATACACTTCACCTTCTCTTGGCAATTGCTCAGTTGTTGCTTTCATATTCAAAAAATTGAATGAGAGCATGAATTCTGCAGTGGCTTTCATTTCAAATTCAATTTGAATTCCCTACATCACATTTATTGTGCTAGATGAAAGCCCATGAAAGCCAATGAAAGATCTAAATTAATTACCCCCCAACTTTTTCCCTTTCTTTTTTGATCATTTTTTGTTTCTGCAGAATGATAACATTCAAAATCACAATCGCCCATTTAAGAGAGTACCAACTACCACCTCCTCAAGCCCCAATTTGATTTCCATTCAGTAATGGGCACAAGTAGCTGTTGGTGTCACCTAACAACAAAACTGGGAAAAGGAAAGAAATAGACCATAGAGCAAGCATCGGCTAGACAAAGCACATGATTTTGGTTCTTTAGTTTTGAGGTTGCATTTAATATCAAAGGGAAAACTGAAATTTCTAAGTCCATTAGTTTTGAAAACATCCAACTAAGCATGACAGAATTAGGGCCTAAAGATGTTAGTGACAACCTGCAATCACACTTGAAATGTTATCCTACTTCACAATCTAGATCCCAAGAAAAATCTGAAACAACTTGATAATTTTCCACAACTAAGCATGACAGAATTAGGAACAATGATTTTTAATCAACATAACCTAACCCTCTCATAAGGGGTAGTTTAAAGAAAATGCATAGCCAAATTTCTAAGCCCATTTAGTTTTGAAAACATCCAACTAATATTTAGACTGATATTTTAAGCTTAGTCTACTTTGACTGTGTTAGAATTAAGAAATGCAATGAGGACAATAGGCATGGAAAGAAAGAAACTGAAGACAGCTATGAAAGAATAATGAATTTACCCACCTAAGGTGTCATAGTAAACGCTGAACAAACATGTTCTGTGAATGATGCATAAAGTTCGGTTTTAGATCTCTTCTTTCTATTTCACACCAAAAGATCAACCAATTTTGCCTTTTCAATGGAGGAAATGAAGAGAATTTTCATGGAAAAAGAATCCTAAGAGAAAAAGTAGAAGAAGCTAGACATTGGAGGTAAAGGATGAATGAACAACCTTATTTTGTCTACCAACTAGCCAGAGCAGAGTTCTCCTAGCAAAAGATGGTGTTTTGGGTTGTGTATCCAGACTGTTGTAGCTTTGAGTTTCCTCATCAAGACCAACTTCACTGCCTCCATTTTCTGACCTTCCAAACTCTATCTCAGAAATGGTACTCCTGGAACAATCAATTGCATTCTTCACCTTCATGCCATCATCACCAGCAGTAGCTGCAACATTTCGATGTGTAGGAAACCGGAATGAGAAAGCCCTCCTTGATGATTCCTCTGATAAACTCTGCTTATCCTTCTTCCCACGGAGCCAAATTTTTGAGATTGAGAAGCTTTCCTTTTTGCTCCTTCCAATAGTCTTATCATTGTTGTCTCCGACACTACTAGCACTCCCATTTGTTTTGACATTTGTAAAGGCTTCAAAGCCGTTGAATTCTCTTCTTGATTCACAATCACATTCAGACATTGCTGGCCTGTGACCAGGTGTCAATGGCAAGGAAGGCTTCTTGCTCGACTGTTTCTTCATTGGGGTTCTTATCGGTACTTGCAAGAAAGAATTCTCATCCATTACATACTCAAAGGAACCCATAGAGAAACACCTTCTAGCTCCCACATCATTGTTACTGCTACTTTCACCTCCATCAACATTCCTAAACTTCCCTAGCTTAACAGGCACAACCTTTTCACCTGAATCAACCAACGCTGCAGTACTAACACCATTTTTGGCAGCAATTTCATGTGATTTACGAGCACAATCACTACGGGCTGATCCCAATTCATTGTCTCTACTTAAACCCAGATAAGAATTTGTCCTCATTGCTGAATTGGTTCTTCCGACACCATTTTCTCTATCCGCAACAAGCTCTCTTGAGCTCTCACTCCCAGATTCAAGAACAAGAACAATAGGTGAGCAGCTATTGTTTGGAGAGAAATCAGGGAGCAAAGTAGCTCTACACAAAGGACATGTGGAGTGAGACAAAAGCCAAGTATCTATGCACTCCATGTGAAAGGCATGGCTACATTTTGGGAGTAATCTAAGCTTATCCTCAGGCTCAAATTCACACAAACAGACTGCACAATCAAATGGGTTTTTCAATCCTATGATGGCTTTGTAGTGAAAAACGGGAAGGGTATCTATGAAGGACTGGTCAACACCAGCATCATGGAGATGGAATAGTTGCTGCAACTGTCCTTGCAGAGCAGTAACATTATCAAAATCTTCTGGTTCTCTTGTAGAAGGTCTCATCAGAAATCTAACCAAAAGATGGAGCAAACCAGAAACGAAGAAAATGATGGCTAGAATTATAATGATGAGCAGGACGTTTGGACTAACCTTCTCATCCAAACTGAAACTACCGGATTGAAGATTCTGCGGCGGTGGCGGAGCAAAGAAGTATGGCTGCTCTGATGGAGAAAGCAAGCTTCTCCGCTTCATTTCAAGGAAAACCCAGTTCATGCTTTCTGGAGAAAATAGGGAAAATCTCACCAAGATTCCAACTTTACGCTTGAATCATGAGATTGGAAGAAACCCATCTGGTTCTACCCAAGAAACAACCCAAGAGTAAATGAGAATACCAAGAAAGGTTTTTCAAGCTAAGTTTGATGTGGGTTTGCTGGATTTAAGCAGACCATTTCTGATGGAGACTCCATGGTTATTCTCAAGTCCCCCCATTTTTTTTTACTGCAATTGAAGCTGCAAGTCAAATGAAAAGAGAGGGTACTTGAAGGTGCATTTAAATGGAAGCTATAAGTGGTGCCCCTTCACCTCTGGTGAGATTTCAAATTGAAAAACCAAATAAATCTACCCACCCTACAGTGAAGAAAATAAATGTGATTAGATCTCATCACCTAAATCTACTACTTTCTGCAGAGTCAATCACTGTAAAATATTGAAATCTTTGTGAAATTTCTTTTGCTATGGTCTCACCGAGCGAGTACTCCAGAGGAGACTCTTCTGGGTTGACTTTAAAACTAAACGTTGCATCAACCCCTGTGCCCATTTAATTCCTAAGAAGAAAACAAAATGCATGTTTGTGTGATACAGAAATATGGCCAAATGGGGATTTCCCCTTTGCCTTTATTTTAATTTTGTTTGGGCCTTGGGGTTTGGAGTTTGTAATTTTGTATTCATTCTTCTGAGGCCCTTCTATTCCGGTACCTCTGAGATCAGCCACTACGGTATAAAACAAAACGACGAGGACACAAAGTCAGCAACAATTTTTTGGGGAGACAACTATTTAGAAATTGTTGTATTGTGTATCGGACCACTTTTTTTTGTAAAACTTAATTTGCTTAAATGAAATTCTCATTTTCACCAAAAAAAAAAAGAAATAAGCTGCGAAAGTTAATAATATTGAATAATTAAGTTCTCTTTAGTTAGGGTTGTAATTTTATTAGAAAAGTTTTTATTGAAAAAATAATTAAAAAAAGTATTATATAAAAAATTAAAATTGCTTAAATGAAATTCTCATTTTCACCAAAAAA